GCAGAGGTCCAGGAGGTTCGCCGACCTTGTTGATCCTTGCCTGTTTATGTAGAACGCCACAGTGGAGTTGTCTGTATGCACCAACAGATGAGCATTCTCCAGAATGTTTGTCCAGTGGAGTATGGCGTTTAGTACTGCTTTCATTTCCAGCATGTTGATGTGCAGATCTTTCTCCTCTTTGGTCCATGTCCCAGCTGACACTTCATCGTCGAGATGTGCTCCCCAACCTTGGAGCGATGCGTCCACGTAGAGATGCGTCTTGCACTCCGGCTCTGCTAAATAGGTGCCTCCGCAAACATTCGATCTCTGGGTCCACCATAGTAGATATGGGCTTAGTGCGTCCGGGAGTCCGAAGGGTTCCGGGTCGTCCACGATGAGCATTGACGAAGACCTGTAGAGGGTGTAGTTGTAGTCTCCCTCTGGCTGTCATGTCTTGCGCTGACGTGAGGAGACCCAACAGACTCTGCCATTGTCGTAGTGGCCACGCAGAGAGTAGAGCTTGCGAGATCATCTGTTGTATCTTGAGCCATCAGTCCTCTGGTACCACTATGCGGTTCTGTGTTGTGATGAACCGGATTCCTAGGAACTGCAGGTCCTGTGTAGGTTCTAGGTCCGACTTGAGGAGATTCACTAGCCACCCCAGTTGTGTAAGCAGTCTGATGGTGAAGTCCAGTTGTAGTCTGAGATGCTTGGGATCTTGATGTACTTGAATCCTGTCGTCTATGTAGAATGCACTGCGTAGACCTCGATGATGTAGGTATGTGACTATGGGCTTCGGCACCCTTGTAAACAACCAGGGGGCCGATGATATTCCAAATGGCAGGACCTTCCATTGGTAATGTCGTCCGTCCAGTATAAACCTCAGGTACTTCCTTGAGTCCGGATGTACAGGAATATGCAGGTAGGCGTCCTGTAGATCTCTGCTGGCCATGTAGTCCATCGGACGGATGAGGTGTAGGAGTTGTGGTAGATGTATCATGCTGAACTTTGGTGGTCTGCGTAGATAATCTCTGTTGAAGGCCCTCATGTTGTAGATGAGTCGGAACTTTTCTTTGGAGTTTTCTTTGGCACTAGGAAAACTGGGGAGTAGAATCCTGGTGAGAGCTGGTCCTGGTCCACCCTTCTATCTATGGCTCCTTCTAGTAGAGATGTGACCGCTTCTCGTAGCTCTCTCTGTCCGATGGGTCGTCGAAGTTGAATTCTGAGGTTCGGCCTGTCAATGGCGGAGTTGCTTGTAGTTGTATGCGATATCCGTCTCTTAGGATGCTGGATACAAATGGATCTTGAAGAATTCCCCAGTTCTCCCAGTAGTTTTGTAGACGTCCACCCACTTGTGAAGGTTGTACAGGAACGGCTGTGGGTGGAAGACTCCAGTCGTTCCAAACCCCTCCTTCATCGCCTCTGATCCTTGGCGCTCTGGGTGCCCTGCCTCATCCGGTCGCCCTCTATAGTTGCCGGCTGGGCTTAATTTTAAAAGAGTCCTTCCCTCCTCTGAAGGTGCTCAATTTCTGGTCTCTTGCCTTCTGGATGCCCTGCGAACTTCGACTTGCCCGAAAGCGCTGGGACGTCTGCCTGATGACACTGGCTAGTGTATCAATGGACTTTATCATGAGGACTTCTCTGGAGTCTTTGGTAACTTCTTTGGCGGCGCCGCCAATCTCCCCGCGAAGATGGATGATGTCGACCATGGGGCTCTGTACAGCGACTTCGCGGAAGCCGCTCACTCCAGTTGCAGGATGCCAGTAGTCCTTGTCGTCTCGCCAACGTCAACGCTGCTGAAATGGATGATAGATGGTCCGTCATAAACTGCTGGTCCTTCTTCTGCATGAGTAGAGCAGAGTAGATCATCCGGTCCTCCTCTGCGGTAGTGTCCCTGAACTTGGCGATGAGCGTCTCATTCACTGCCCTGGACCTGTTCAGGCCGAAGAACATCCTTCTGGACATCGTCTCTATCTGCGCCAGCTTTTTGTCGTCAATCTTATAAGACTTGGTCCAGGCACCGTTGATGACCTTGTAGTTATCATCGATCTCTTGTGCCTTCATGAAGGGGTCCATATTGTGTAGAGAGAACTTCTTAGCGTTGAACTGTGGAATATTCGGCGCCTGGGATTTCGTTGCCTTCCTGAAGGCTGCGTCCAAGTTCTCTGGAACTTCCGAGATGGGATCAATTGGCGGTAGAGTGATCGTGTCGACATCATCGTCCTTCATCAGGTACGTGAGTGCTTCATTCTCTTCCTTAGAGGGTGATGCTAACTCCAGTCCGTTGGCCATCCAATATTTTATCTCGTCCAAGAAGATAAAACCGTCTTCGTCCTCTGTTTCAGGGGCGTTGATCTGGGATCGTTCATCATCCTCCGCTGGGGATCTTGTGTGGAGACCTGCGCGGAGACCTGCGTGGCTATCTGCGTGGAGATGAGCCTGTAGAGCTGCGTCTGTAGGGCGACCTTTGTGGAGGCGGGCATCTCTTGGTTCGTGAATGCCTCGGCGAATCCCTTGACGATCTGTGAGATGTTGATGACGTCCTTGAGGCTGTCTCCGCAGACCTTCTCGAAGGCCGTTCATCTGAGTCGTCAATGGAAGACCTCTCCGATGTGTCGGTGGCGGTGGGTCCTTTGTGCAGGTCCGGGTCCTCTCTGTGGGTGGTGTCCAGGGCTGGTTGTCCATCTCTTTCCTGTGCAAAGCGCCTCTCCATCATCTCCATTATCTGCTGCGAGAACTGCTGCATGAAGGCCCCTGGGTTGAATGTCTGCGGTGATAGATGAGCTGCCCTCTCTGCGTTGGTAGCGATATGGTCCAGGGATAACTCATCTGCCGTCAGTGTAGATACCTCGACTGGCGTAGATAACTGCGCTTGATGTTACCGCTGCTGAGGCCTGCTTCTTCCTGGGGCGATGTCTCTCCGGGATGATGAGCAGCGACTCATCATAGAGTCCTCTTTCCTCCATCGGGACAATCTCGGCCGAGAAAGTCCTAGTCGTCTGCACAGACGTCCCCGTAGAGCTGCTTGCCGTCTTAGGGGTGTGTGGCCTTCATGAGAGGATGGCTTCTTCTTCTTCGCCTGGGCGATGAAGGGATGTCCGGCGGCAGCCCTCTTCTTCGAAGTGGCGGACAACGTCCCACGCCCATCCTCCGAGGACATCTCCAGCGGATCACTGGAAGGAAGAGGGTCGTCTGACAGCAGTTGACACGTGAGGGACTCAGCCGGCTTATCCATGACTTGAAAAAGTTGCCTGGATTTGTCTTTAGCACGCCTAAGTACACAGACAATATATTTATTAAATTCAATATTGGTTAAATGCTGACAAAGGTTGCAGCGAGAGCTGGAAGTACATGGTGTTGGGGAGCTAGGGCACAATAAATGCGGGTCTGCAGCAGAGAACCTAAACCTACAACGAAAACAGGTTTTCATGAAATGTAAACAACTGAACAAACACGGACAAAACTGTGAATAAACAGTGAAAAATACGAATAATTTTCAAACCATATTGTTGAAGGATACTCCCTAAACCCCTATAAAGGTAATGTATAGGGTAATAACTAATAAATAAAAGGATATAGTGCCGTATAGAAGACACAGGCGCTCTCCCAACCGTCCACTAGGGCGAAGATGGAGAGAGTGAAGCATGTGGGAGCGGTGGCGCCACTTTTCCCGCCAAAACGGCCAGACAGATAACTCATGGTGAGTAGTGATTTTACATCTGTTTTTATTGAAGGGAGCTTCAATAGAAGATACAAGTGTTCCACTAACGTTCGCAAGAGGAAGGAGACAAGCAATAAGCATGAGTCAGGATAAGGAAAAATCTTACAATTTGACTGCGTTTTTCAACACCTAAACCCCATGTCTTTCAGACTTTTTCGAAAACTTTCCTTTGAACCCTGATAATGCAGTTGGCTTCTTGCCATATCATATATCATATCTCATATCTAGAGTAGGCAGTTTCTTTTGTACTCCATATAAACTTTTTTTCTTTTTAAAAAAAGATAATTTTTATTTACTCCATATAAACTTTGTACAAATTGACGGACTGCACACCTGTCAAAATCATCAAGTTTGTTCTTGGAAGTTTTGGGTTTGCGCAACTTGGTTGGACTAATAAAAGTAGGCCTACTCGCACCCCTATCACCTTCCGCTTTCATATGTTTTAAAGTTGCCTCGGAAAGACCAGTAGCCAGGCTACTTTTTGACATAGCGTCTACTTTGGTTGCACACATCTTTTCCATATAAATAATAACATTGTAGGCTAACTCCCTTGCCTGAGAATGAACAATTTGCCCATGCTTCCCTAACTTGGACATGTTAAATTAACAAAAATACTCAATGAAACGCTGATCATAATGAAAACATCATACCAACTCTGTGAGGTTCTTGCAGAATTTTGGTCCTTAAAATAAGAAAGTTGTTTAACAAACTACCATCAAAATATTGACACTGTTCACTGTTTGTTACGGGGGAGGAGTGCAGAGAAAGGGACAGCCAGGTGTTCGAGAAGAACGTGCACAAGTGCCGACGAAGTTGTTTATTCATTAACCTTTGCTGTGCCATCTCCACCCTTTCTCGCACACCTGGCTGTCCCTTTCTCAGCACACCTCCCTCGTAACAAATAGTGAACTGTGTCAATTTTTTTGATGATAGTTTGTTAAACAACTTTCTTATTTTAAGGACCAAAATTCTGCAAGAACCTCACAGAGTTGGTATGATGTTTTCATTATGATCAGCGTTTCATTGAGTATTTTATGTTTATTAGTTTCGAGTTTAATTGCAATTCATTGGTCCGCTTTTGAGCCAAATGGACTATAATGTTTTTCTGTTCTTGGGGAAGAGTGGCACTGAAGTTTCCACTACCATATGGAAATGAGATGAGTAATTAGTATAATTCAGGATAATAAAAACTAATAAATTTACAGGCATTAAATCAAAGATCAAAACATCTAGATTAAAAACACACAAGGTTTTTCACTTCCAAGGAGACTACCAGATAAATAATTTATTTCATACAAACCCTGCAATCATTCCGAGAGAGGCCAGTGCATAGAAGGAACCAAACCAGGCAAATATGTCCCGTGCTCTTGCAATCTGCATGGCCATCATCCGCTCTCGCATCTGGTTTTGCATCTGTATCTGGCGTTCCATCTACAGCAGGAAGAAAAGGATATATGATTTTTTTTTAAAAAGCTTCTTATTTGAAAATTTGTATGACATTTTTGTTGACATTTTTAGTCAAGAGAAAATTCTTGATAATTTATTTAAATATGTTATAGTCTTCAGCCTTAACTTTTGTACAACCACACTTCTGGTTCTAGTTGTTTTGGGTTCTGTATTCAATACATTTCTGTCCTAATTACATATTCCCCCTTAACCTTCATTAACAACCAGTGTTTGTTTTATGCTTTCCCTTTTCGTTTAGATTTTCCTTAAGATTATGTTTATATTTTGTTGACTTTATTTCTTTTATATTTTCGTTTATTCATAAAACAGATTAACAACATGGAGGAACAACACTCATTAGCACACCAAAGATTTGTTAAATTCAAAAGAAAAATGTAATTTTTAGAGTAAAATTGATATTTTATACTTATCCTGACTCATGCTCTTTTGCTTGTCTTCTTCTTCTTGCGAACATAGTGGAACACTTGTATCTCCTTAATTGAAGCTCCCTTCACTGTAAAATCACTAATTGGTACTCAGCAAGAGTTGCCTCCCTTGCCCTTTTGGCGGGAACAGGTGTCACCACCCTCTGGCCTCATGCTTCACTCGCTCCTGATTTTGCGAGCCCAACACTTGAATTTACAGGGAAATCCAAAGTGTTATGTGGGGAGGATGGGAGGGCTAACCTCATGAGTCAGGATCAGTATAAAATATCAATTTTACTCTAAAAATTACATATTTTTCCTTATCCTGACTCATGCTCTTTTGCTTGTAGAATCCTACGGAAACGGAGGTGGGCAAAACAGAATACTTTGGATTTATAGAATTAGTGATTTATATAGATATAACTGTAATAACCCCTTACGGAACTTCATAAAGGCATAGACTTAGGATATTTCCTCTATTATAAGCCATAGGTTATATTTGCCATACTGGGGTATTTACAATAATAATATACTGTGATATTATCAAATAACAATATCAAAGTTTAACTCTGATAGAGAAGCTATACAACTGAACATAATCATCAGTAAAAGCTTAAGGGTGAGTAGACCTAAGCTAAGTATATACATAGTGCTAGAACTCCGAGAGTTATAAGCTAGATAATGCATGTATCAATTATGCATATTAATCTCGTAAGACTACGTGTTAACGCTACATTTCAGGGACTGTCAACTGCTGTGCGAGGACCAAGGGACCGAAATGGTGAATACCTGAGACGCCCTCGTGGTAATATCTCTCAGATAGTGATTAGCAAACACCATGTTAGATTTCCAAAAGCATCCTTCCATAATTGTATTCAATGAACAGTGACCGTAGGGCGCAGAGTGGAAGCCAATGCCCTGATCTCATGGGGATTTGATGCTGTTGGAGGGTCCAGTCCTGCTGCCTTGTAGGCCTGGTATGACAATTCTTATCCATATAGATATGGTGGTACGAGAGACTTCTGTCTGAGTTGTTGCCGACAAGGGAATGAATAATCATTTGAGAAATCTTCGCCTTTGTTTTGGAACGTCAGAAATAGATTTTGAGAGCTCTGACTGGGCATAGAGATAAGTCCAGTGTATCTTGAGATCCGAGAATCGAGGATAGTGCAGGGATATGGAATAACCTGTCTGGTTGACCTGGTAGTTGATTTTTGGCGATGAAATCCCATCTTAGTCCCAGGTGTGCTGTGTTTTGATTGTCATCAAACTGTATCCTCTCATAATCTAGTGCGTGAATTTCCGACATCCTGGCTGCTGTGGCTAGAGATAACAGGAAAAGCGTTTTCTGTGAGAGAAATTCAAAGTTTGTCGATTCCAACGGTTCATAAGCCTCACTTGTGAGGTGTTGTAACACTATATTCAGATCCCAAGCTGGGGCGTGGAACTTCTGCTTTTGGTCCTCCAATCGGAAAGCACGAGTAAGGCCAGTAACTCTGGTGTTTTAGTCAATTTTACACCCGCTCTCATAGTAATCACAGAACTAAGCGCTGCAAGATATGTTGACAATGTCGAAGCCTTTTAAATGTTTGTTTTGCCGTAAGTAACACAAATAATCTGCCACTTGTGGATGAGTAGCATCTCTCGCTGTAAATCCCTTTATTTGCTGCGTAATTTTCAAAACTGTGCCACTTGTCGCCGCATTGCCACGCGGTAGAATTGGCGTAATGCGTTGACCGCTTTTGCCGCCCTGGTAGAATATCCTCTTGTTTAAACACATTTTAATACAGTCCATACGCGAAGTTGGAATACTTCTGGGCTTCCGCACCTGTCTGGTGTGTGGATGTATTAATAGATTTGAGCTTTGGGTAGCTCTAGTGTTGGTTGACCGATTTCTTGAATTAGAATGGGAAACCACGCTCTGGCCGCCAGTAGGGCTGACCAAAGTGAGTTGGAGGCTCTGTGTTTGTCTGATTTTCTGTAACACTTGAGGTATTATTGCTGGCGGCGGAAACGCTGCACGCATTGAGGCCTTCCCAAGATATGCTTAGAGCGCCCGCTGCCCATGCTTGTGGGTCTGGGACTGGTGACACGTAATGTCGGTAGCTGATTGTTGAAGCGGTGGCTTAATAGATCTACTAGCGGCGCCCTATTTGCTTGATTATCTGTGCGAATATTTCTGTATTGAGCATCCATTCTGTCGGTGACGGTTGATGTGGCCGAGAGCGCGTCTGCTAGTACATTCTTGGCTCCGGGAATGTGACATGCTCTGACATGTAGGTTTAGATCGTGGATTAGATCGAACAGTTGAAAGCTTAAAGTCAATAGGTTCAGTGATCTCGCTTGAGCCTTGTTTGTTCACATAGAACGCCACTGTCGAAGTTGTTGGTATGAATCATTGGCGCGATTCTGTAGAATGGTGCTCCAATGAAGTATGGCGCTGATTACAGCTTTCATCTCTAACATGTTTATATGGAGCTTGCTTTTCTTGCTGATTCCATAACCCTGATGTCAGTCCGGGTTGGCGAGATGAGCTCCCCAACCTTGGAGCAACGCTGGCCTACATATATATAGATGGGTTTTGAATTCCTGCTCTTCTAAACAAATACCTTCGCAGACATTCGACCTCCTGGTCCACCATAGTAGATGGGGTCTGAGATGTTTCGGTAGACTGAATGGTTGTAGGTCGTCGAGATGTGCACTGATGAAGACCTGTAATGGGCGTAACTGTAATCTGCCTGAGACTGTCATGTCTTGGGCTGATGTGAGGAGACCCAACAAGCTCTGCCATTGTCGTAGTGGTAATGGAGAGAGTAGAGCTGGCGGAATGGTCTGTTGGATCTTGAGCCAACGGTCTTCTGGTACGACGATACGGTTGAGATTCGCGGATAAATCGAATGCCTTGAAACTGCAGATCTTGGCGATGGTACTAGGTCCGACTTTGAGTAAGTTTACTAACCATCCTAGCTGTGTTAGTAGCTTTATGATGTAGTTTAACTGTAGTTTGAGACGCTGTGGATCTTGATCTACTTGTATCCCGTCGTCGAGGTAGAACGCTCGCTGGGCGAGCCCCTAGACGCATGTAGATAGGTGACAATAGGTTTCGTTATCCTCGTGGAATAGCCAGGGGGCTGATGATATTCGAATGGGAGTACTTTCCATTGGTAATGTAGCCCCTCTAGTGTAAATCTTAGATATTTCCTGGATTCGGGATGTATCGGATGTGTAGATATGCGCCTTGCAGATCTATACTGGCCATGTAATGCATGGGGCTTAATCAACTGCCGTAACTGAGGTAGGTGTATCATGCGCGAAACTTTGGTGGTTTGCGAGATAATTCCTGTTGAAAAGCTCATGTTGTAAATGAGTCTGTATTTCTCCTTGGAGTTTTTCTTGGGTACTAGGAAAACTGGGGAGTAGAAGCCTGGTTCGATGTTTGCTTGATCTAGTACTTCTATGGCCTGCTTGGTTATGAGTGATGTAACAGCCTCTCTTAACTTTGGTAGTTGTTGTGCCTGTAAGTCTAACTTGTGAGGGTTGACTGTCAGCCGAGGCGTGGCCTGTAGTGGGATACTTAAACTGGTTGAAGAATGTTGGAGACATAAGGGTCTTGTAACATTCCCCAGTTCTCCCAGTGTAGTTGGAGGCGCCCACCCACTTGTGACGGTTGTACTGGAACGGCTGGGGTCGAAGACTCCAGTCGTCCGAACCTGTCTTTCAGCGCTTATAGTTGCGGAACCTCTGGGTGTCCTGCCTCTTCCTGACCCTCCTCTATAGTTGCCATATGGGCTTAATTTAAAAGAATCTTTTCCCTGGCTGGCTATCTTCCTATCCCGCTTTCTGTAGCCCCAGAACTTAGATCTCCCTGAGTATCTTTGTGAAGTCTGCCTGATGACGCTGGCTAGCGTGTCCATCGACTTGATCATAAGGACTTCTCTGGAGTCCTTAGTGACTTCCCTTGGAGACTTTGTCTATTCCCTCCGCCAAAGATGGATGGGGAAGACCACAGGGCTGTATAGAGTGGAGCTGTAAAGTTCTCACCCCAGCTGCAGGAAGCAAGGAGGCCTTGACGACGAGCTAAGGTCAGCTGCTGAGACAGATGTGAGATGATCTGTAAGGAACTGCTGGTCCTTCTTTAGCATCAGTAGGGCCGAAAGTAGATCATCCTATCATCTTCAGAGGTCGATACTTAAATCTGGTGATAAGTGTCTCATTGATCGCTCTAGATCTATTTAGGCCAAAACATGCTTCTCGCCATGGTTTCTATCTGCACCAGCTTGCGCATCGCCAATCTTGTAGTTCTTGTTCTTAACATCGCTGATCAGCTTGTAGTTGTCATTGATGTCTTGTGCCTTCAGGAAGGGGTCCATGTTACAGCGTGGAGAACTTCTTAGCGTGAAAGTTCGGCAGATGTGGTGTCTGAACTTTCGTGGCTTTATGGAAGGCTGTATCTAGATTCTGTGGCACCGCAGCAATCGGGTCGATCGGAGGTAGGGTGACGACGCCTGCATCGCTCTTCCTTCATCAGGTATGTCTGGCGCTTAAGTTGCCACTCTTGGA